TGTTTGAAGGACAGTTTGTCTCTCTAGGCTGTGAGGAGACGACAGCTCTGCTGGAGACACTGAGGGAGGACGGACAACCGAGAGAAGTCAGGACTCAGTTGGCAATAATGTGGGGGAAGATCACTGTTCGTTCTGGGAACAGTGCGAGCTTCAACGTCCCAATGAACAGTGGAGTAAACATCTGAGAGCTGCTGGGACTCACAGTCAGAGAGGCTGGAGGGAATTTATGATATTTTGGGTGAATAATATTTGACCAATCAGAAACAGGTTGAAATATTTATTACAGTTTGAACAACATATTCTTAAATTTGAAGGTTTATCAGACACCAAATCACTGCACAGAGGTTAATACTACAACTATAAAACTACTTTAACATACTCTGATACCAGCACTATAACAGGAGGAAGTCACTGATCCCAGATATAGTTCAGCACATAATCCTCCTAAGGACTTTCTTTAAGAACACACTTTGTCATTATTCAATAAAGATTTAGTCCCTAACTCTGCCTGGTCTCCATTATTTTCACTTCAGTCTCTGCAGGCGGAACAATTGTTAGTACGTGTGTTTTGTGGTCTTTATGTGAAACGTAAGCTGCTATACAGCGAGTGCACTGACCTTGGTGTGTTGGGCAGCACAGCAGTGAGTTCAGCACTGAGGAGAAAAAAGATTGACAAAATCCCAGATTACTGGAAACCGAAGTGGCTCTGAAATCTGTTTCCACTGGATAAAAGCTCACTTACTTTCAATAAACAATAATACATCTTTTAGGTTTTTCAATCCTGTAGTGGATTAAATAATAATCTTGGAGCACTGACCACAGACCAGATTTATGACTCATCTGATGCTTTAAAGCAGAGCTCTTGTTGAGACAGGATGTGTTTAGTGGCAGCAGGTGAGAATGTCGTTTAACACTGCTGAGGTTCAGCAGCTCATTAAATATGACATTTTAAGTTTCATGAAGTAGTTTGTCACATCCTGTGGAATATAAGTAATCAAAAAAACCCTGAATGTAAAAGCCTGAGATTATTTCTCAACTAATGAATTCTTCTTTCTCATATCTGTTGCGATCAATAACATCATCCTCTCCTGTTAATATAATCATTAATATTTGGACAGTATGTACTCACAGAGCAGCAGCATGATGTTGGACTCATGGTGGCACATAGTGATGTGACAGAGCGGTTTCCGTCGCAGCAGTTGAACCCTCCTCCTTCCTTCTGAGGTGAGTTTACTGACTGTGTGGTTTTTGCTCTCAGCAGCAAAACAGGAAAAAAAGGTCAATCGTTCTAAAACCTTTCTTTCTTATTAGGCCAACAAACAGAGAGATAAAGGCAGGAAAGGAGCTGTGTTGGAGAGGAGGAGTGATGGTAATGATTCAACTAATGTAACTAATAGAGAAGATGTAGGACAGAGTGGACGTGGATCAGAGATTAAAAACAGAAACAGAGAGCGTTTGAGGGGACGGTAAGATACAACATCATAATGGAGGTGCTTCTAGAAGGGAGAGAGCCAATAAACACAACAACAACATTTTAACCTTAAAATAATCTGCAGTCTGCCATATGTGTGTCCTGAGGAAATGACCTAAAATCAGCCATTTTGTCCAGTGTGTCCCTCAGTGTGTCCTCCTTACAGTCTTTTCTGGAGTCTGTTTCTAATTGTTTTCCATCTCTTTGTGTGCTTTTGTATGAACTTTGTGAAACTTTGTAATTGTTTTGCATCTGATTTTGGTTGTTTGTGTTATTTGTGGTCGTTTTGTGTCTCTGTGTCTCACAGGACAGATCTTTAAATCAAAAACTACTCATGTGTGATCCGTCTGGATGGGAGAACACACTGTGGGTTGACTCTGAACTTCATTGAACTGCACATTGTCATTCACTGATAAAAGAACACATCTGACCAATATTCACTCTGCTGATGTTCTATAATTGTCCTATGACTCACTGTAAAGTTCAGCTCACTGATTGGCTGAGGGGCAGGAAGAGAACTGTCGCTGCATATCTTCATTCATAGCAACTTGGAGAAGAGAAGACGAGCAGAAGTGGAGCAGTGTCACTTTCAGATAACAGAGACAAACGACAAACAGAAGGAACCAAATCACACTCAAAGTCTGTTTCCCAGAATGCAACAGTTTTCACCTGTGAGAGGGTGAGTGACTCAGTTTATTGACTCATTTGTATAAAAGATATAACCTGAGGCAGCTGTTTAATCAGTGTGTGTTCAACGTTAAAGACGGAGGGGTGAATAGAGTTTATTATTGTTATTATTATTATTATTATTATTATTATTATTATTATTATTTGTAGGTAAACAAATCAACAAAAAAGCTCATCAGTGAGAAACATTTAACTCTGATTGAAATCACATATCTGGGATAAAGAGGAAGTGTGTTCACAGCTGGTTTCTGCTGCCCCCAAGTGGCCACACACACACACACACACACACACACACACACACACACACACACAACCTGAGTACTAAACATTCATTC